AAATAAATATTATGAGTATAAATTTTACAGAATTTCTAGTTTTGCCTGAAGGTCACCTGGTTATAAGGAGTATTTTTCAACAAACAGGAAAAAAAATGCTAGACTAACTTTTCAAAAGTTAAAACCAAACTTCTAAGAAGACATAGTTGCTTCTCCCCAGCCACTTCAAAAAATGGGGAAAATATAAATTCTCATTCCCCTACAAGACTTCCCTCCCATCACTACCACATGACAAAAGATTAATATCTGAGGGCTAGCCTGATGTTGGAGAATCCTCTGAGAAGGAAATATTCTTGAGAGTTGTGTCTCTTTGACTAAGAAATAGCTCTAAGTAGGGAGATAAATGGTGCTAACACTTTTGCGGTCTGGGGAATGTCTGGAGGGAAGCTTGTGTTCACCACTGTATCTGCAGTGATGAGAACACAGCCTGACAGATAGCAGGAACTCTACAAATAATCACTGAGTGAATGGTTAAATGAATGAACAAGTCACAATTGTATAAAAAGACTTCTTTCTTTTGCAAGACTTGCATGAAACCTATTTAAAAGTATCAAAGGCAGAAATAACAGGAAGCCAGATCAATGATCCTGTGCTAAGAATATCTTTCTGGGCATCAACTCCCTTTTAAGTGAAACAGTGATGAGGCTGAAGGCTCACCCAGAGGTATGGCAACTGTGTATTTACATATAGAACAGGAACCACAGTTTTATGAAAACAAATGTATTAGGGGCAATAATGGTACAGAGCATTTCTACCCTTAGATCTGAGCAAGCAATGCCCCTGATCTGAGACCTGCACTTCAAAAGGCCCCATCCTAGCCACATTCAGCTGTGCGCACTCTTCTCCCTATGAAAAGTCCACAGGGCCAAGGAGACATGGCCCTTGGAGTCTAACCACCTCTGGGTACCAAGGATTCAAGAATTTTCTGCACAGACATCTCCAAATCCACTTTTAAGGTATACATGGGCCTCTTTCAAGGACCAGTGCAAAGGTCAGGTGTTGATATGGGAATGCTTGCTTAAAACTAAAAATGGAGTAGCTTTAGTTAAAAGGTTAGAGAGCAATCATTGAAACAAGCAGCAACTTGCTTCAGCCCTTCTCTAATCATTAGCTCACAGAACCAGTTGTTTAAGTAAAATTGATCATTGCTTGTAACCCCTTGGCTATTTCTTTGTACTGTCTATCCCTCCCTCTTTCCAAGCGTTTGTCTTCCAGGTATATGAAGTCAGGCTGACCTAACAATCTATTGTGACCAGCTTTCTGTGACTGCCCTCTAGACCCCTGCTTGAAGTCACAAGATATGCATTGCCCTAACAACCCTAAGACACCTAATGGATGTTATCAACACCTAGAAACACAACTGCAAGGAAACTTTTACCCATCCTCTTCCCTCATAAATGCCTTAGCTTTAAATATGTCCTGTACCCAACCTCTGGGCCACACTAACTGTTAGCATTGGTCTTGTTCTCTCTTGAACATTAGTAAACTCTTTTTGCTTTCTTTTGCAAATCTTTGCTTCATTCCCGAGGCACTAGCCTTCCTATACTCCTGAACCCTAACAACCATCTTCCTGGAAACAGATATTCCCCCAGTATCCACAACTCAAGGCCCAAGGAGTGGCCAAGTGATAGTTGTTTACTTGGATTGTGGACACATAGGCCAAGATGTCTACATCCTTGTGTATAAGGCCTCTCAAGATATGGGATGGAGTTAGGAATATGAAAATAAGAAGAGTAGATCACAAGGTACAGTCAGAGCCTGGAAGGTGAGTCTCCCTGAAGGAGCACATTCCAGCACAGAACTACAAGAATTTTCTGCACAAACATTCCAAAGCACAGAGAATTCAAAACTGGATCTGGGTATATATAGGAATTTAGTGCACTCTAAATGTGGTATTTCCAATCTTCTGGGCAAAAGTGAATTTTTTAATAAGTAATATAAGAACTATTGACTATCAATTTGAAAAAAATAAATGTAGAGCTCTGTGTAAAAATGAACATCTTTTGGGACATACATCGTTGAACCATATAGTTCAAAAGAGAGCTGCTAACTTCCAGAATCCTTCCCAACTCCTCACCTCCCCACCCCCAGCCACCACTAATTAGCCAAAAGTGGAAGCCAAGCTGGTATAATTCCACCAGCCATACCTATGGCCACTACTGATTAGTCCAAGAAAGAGCACCTGACTCACACTGAGTCAACCAGACCCTTTCTGGAGACTGTAACTTGGGAAGAGATAGAGAGAAAGAGAGAGTAGTGCACCAAGTCCAGTCCATCTCAAAAGTAAGATGTGAGTGGAGGAACTGTAACAGCCATGCTTAGAACTTGTTTATATTCTCTCTTAACTCTCCTCCATTGCAGGCTGCCTCTTTCTCCTTCCTTCACAGCTAAGCTATCTCTGCATCCTCTTTTCATACAGCATTGTATGCATTCTCTATCTAACTGTTTTGAGTTGTCAATTTATTGTTCATTCGTACAACCAACACTTTTTTTGATAGGGACCATTTCTGAAGTTGGGCTACACCGTGTCAGCAAAGAATTCCAAGTTTCATAAATTTAGAGAGGAGAGCTTTATTTCTTGTTGTTACTGTTGTTGTTTATTTGTTTGTTTAATTTTTATTTTAGAGCTGTGGGGTAAATGTAAGGATTTGCTATGTAAGCAAATTGCATGCAGGTGAGGTTTGGGCTTCTAGAAAGCTGTCTCTCCCCCTGGTAGTGGACATGGTACCCAATGGGTGGTTGAGTGCCCCATAACCCCCTCCCTCCCAAACTAGTAGTAGCCAGCATCAGTCGTTCCAGCCTTTGTGAGAGCTGTCTTTCTTAAGAAGGAGATTACAACCTACAAGTGAGAAGTATCGCCGGCTGTCAAAAACTGAAGGCAGACACTTTGAAGGCAAAAAGGTGAACAGAAATTTATGCTGAATAGGTTGGCTAAGTATATATATTTTCAACAGGTTATAGGAAGAGCAATGAATATTCTCAAGGGGGGGTCCTAATACATGCATACTGAATAAATATGTATGTTACATTCAACCTATGTTCACTTTGGGGTGAGACTTAACATTAAAATACAGTAAAATTAGGCTCTATACGGCAAAAGGTGAAGCGGGACATGAAGGCACCCAAGTGCGCAGCCTCTGTAAGCCAGCCAGAACCAGTCCATGATCGGTGTCTCTTGTCCAATCAAAGTGTAGTTTGGCTGGTGGAACAGGGTCAGTCAGTGTCTGGCAGCTGGTGAGCTGCAATTGTTTTAATATGCTTTAATATGCTTATCTCAGACCAGTGCTCATCAAGATGCTAGAGAAAAAAATAAATAAATAAACCTTGCAGCAGTTAGGGCACAATTTATTCTTTAAGTGTAGATGTGCATGATTTAGCCCTTCCCTGGCATAGCCTTAGGTCTTGTTTATAATTTGGTATCTTATTGCCACAAAGAGTCCCTTTTATCAGAATTATGATCTCTGTTTTAATAACCATCACTGAAGCCACAGTTTCATGCCTCAAGGAGCCTACAGAGAAGTAAAGTGATTAGACCATATGCCCTAGAGACAGACTGCCTGGGTTTTGATTTGCCAAGTATTAACTTAGTGACTTGATGTACGACACTTAAATTACCTGTGTCTTAGTTTCTTTGCCTGTAAAGTGAAGCTGATGATAATCATTGTGAAAATTAAACAGCTTCACAAATGTTTGAAGTTACATCTGGCATATAGAGGTCAAGGATAGCTACTTTCAATTTGTTTTAATTGACAGACATTGCATATATTTATGGTATACATGATGTTTTGAAAAATGTATACATTGTGAAATAGATAAATCAAGCTAATTAACATATGCATTACTTCACACACTTATCATTTGTTATGGTAAGAACACCTAAAATCTGCTTTCAGAGATTTTCAAGTATACAATACATTATTTTTAAAATACTGTAATCCCCATTACAACAGATCCATTGAACTTATTCCTCCTGTATGAATGAAATGTTGTATCTTTTGTCCAACATCTCCCAATCTCCTCCCCCTCCCCCACAAGTCTCTGTTAACCACATTTCTGCTCTCTGCTTTTATAAGTCCAATGCTTTTAGGTTCCACAAACACATGAAATCATGTGGTATTTGTCTTTCTATTCCTGGCTTATTTCACTTAATACAATGTCTTCTAGCTTCTCCTATGTTGACACAAATGGTAAGATTTACTTCTTTCTTAAGGCTGAATAGCATTCCATTGTGTATATATGCCACATTTTTTATCCATTTGTCTAACTGATGACCATTTAGGTTAATTCCATATCTTGGCTATTGTGAATAATGCTGCAATAAGCATTGGAATACAGATATCTCTTTGGCATACTGACTCCATTTCCTTTAAATATATACCCAGTAGCAGGATTGCTGGGTCATATGGTAGTTCTATTTTTAGTTGTTTGAGCAACCTCCCTACTGTTTTCCATAACAGCTATACTAGTTTACATTCCCAAAAACAATATGAAAGAGCTCCCTTTTCTCCACATCCCCACCAACAGTTGTTCTTTTGTCTTTTTGATAATAGCCATCCCAACAAGTGTGAGAAGATATCTCATTGTGATTTTAATTTGCATATTCCTGATGATTAGTGACCTTGAGCATTTTTTTAATATACCTGTTGGCCATTTGTATATCTTCATTTGAGAAATGTCCATCCAAGTCCTTTGCCTATTTCTTAATCAAGTTATTTGGAGATTTTGAAATTTAGTTGTTTGAGTTTTTTAAACACTTTGAATATTAACCCCTTAGCAGATACAGAGTTTTCAAATATTTTCTCCCATTCTGTGGATTATCTCTTCATTCTGATGATTGTTTGCTGTGCAGAAACTTTTTAGCTTAATATAGCCCCACTTGTCTATTTTTGCTTTTGTTACCTGTGCTTTTAGGATCATATCCCAAAACTCCTTGCCCAGATCAGCATCATGGAGGTCTTCCTGTACATTTCCCTATGTTACCAGATTTTCCCCTGGTAGTTTTACAGTTCACTCACCTCTTTATGACCAGTACCTGGTACATAAGGCCCCAATACACTGTTGAATATACCAATCCTGTGATTTTTACATTGCAATTTAATTATAGTAAGTGACATATCCTGGACCCACATCACTCTTATGAGGAAACATAAAGACTTCAGGAGAGTCGGTGTAACTATACTCAAGAGTTTGTGTTCAGCTCCTATTGCAGCCCCCATCACTGTGTCTCTCACAGCACAGAAGTACAAAGCAGAGTCGCTCCCAAGGGCAGATGCTTTCTTCAGGTGGAAAGAGGTTTGGCTCTTATTAAATTCAGCCTCAAAACCGTAGCTGCCTTTAACCAGATTGTCCCCTGTGAGGTACTTCAGAAGGAACTGAAGGCCTTGGTTGGGATATTGGACATACCAAAAGAGATAAGGAGTCCCAGAAAACGAATAGGTGCATTTCACAGTCAGGGGATCTCCTTCAGCAACTGTCACCTGATCTTCAGGCTGAGTCACCGACTGAGCTCTTAGTCCACCTGTAAATTAATCAGTGCTGCATCAGTGAAACTGCGAAAGAGAATGTAAGGGGGTCATACAAATGAAAAAATGGGAAGAGGCTGTTACTCACTCAATGTAAAGAGAATCGCAAGTGTCGAGATGGGTGCAGAAGCCATGGCTCCAGAAGAGCTCTCCAGCGGCTCTTTTCCAGTCCACCTCTGCTAGAGATATGGCTCCAACCCCAAAGAGTGGGCTCCTGAAGAGGAATCAGCACCCCTGAGTCAGCACAGTTCTTTTAGAAATGTCTCTTCCTCAGGGACCTGGTGCTTCCTGACACCTGCATCTTCTCTCTGTTGAGTGCCCTCTTGGTTCAGCTCCTCAAAGCTCTGTGGGGAGCAAGACTGCCTTCTCCAGTACCCAGGACAGAGCTTACCCTGTAGTGCCCCCTAGAGCCCACACAGGACCAGTGACTTTACGGTCAAGTAGCCAGTGCTTTCTGGTCTTATCACTAGACCAGTCTCTAGGTGTTTCACATTTTCCATAAAGGACATAGACGAGAAATTTGGTGTTCAAAGGAGAAGGAGCAGAAGTTTCTTAGTAAAAGCAGAAAGGACGCATGCTGAATAGATCAAGCTTTAAGTGGTCTATATTCTCTTAAGATCAAGTAGAAAAAAGAGAAATCGGATTTTTAATAGGTTAGAAAAATAGATAGGAAAAGAAAGAGAGAGTATAGCTCTGCATGAAGAAGGAGAGAAAAATAAAAATGAGAGATAAGAAAAAGCAAAATAGGAAAAAACAGTTAGGCAAGAGAAGATAAATGGCAAAAGAAAATGCAAACCCTGGACTTCTCTTTAGACATAATTTAGAGTTGGTTTCTGTGTAACCCTCTTTGATCAATCAATAATTCAGATAGGATTTTTTTCTAGGTTTGGCCTATTGGAAGCCCATTCCTTAATGCTCTTTGGTTAAAGATTCATACAAAAAGGGAAGGGAAGAAAGAGGGGAGCTGGGGTTCAGAAACTATGTAGGGAGCACATGTGCACTATCTAGAAAATAGGCCACCTGAGACCCAATCCCCACCACTACACAATATGTTCATGTAACAAATATGCATGTGTACCCCCGAATCTAGATTTTAAAAAGTAAAAAATATAAATAAAAAATATTCACACAAAAATAACCTTGAGCCTTGTCTTTAAATATTTTTAGAAAGAGAAAAGTAAGAGGTGTTATAAACACTCCTGACCCATTTGTCCTACTAAACAGTAGACATAAAGCAAAAAAAAAAAAAAAAAATCTGTGAAAGGATTGAAATAGATACTTTCTACATGCACAGGCTACTTAAAACAGACTTCAAATAAAGTACATATTCAGTAAAAATCTATGGTTAACTAAGCTTGAAGTTTATTATGATGATAAAGAGCTCATCTTAAAGGGAGGACAGGTTAAAGTGTTGTATCATGAAATGCCACAATAGCAGCAGAGTGATTACTCAATAGATTCAAAGTCAAAGGAAAAAAAAACAAGTATCAATACAAAGAAGTTTTTGCTCCAAATTTGCTTTATTTTTCCCTTAAATACTGTCCACCATAAAGCTTGAGGAGAGGATGAAAAATCTATTTACTCTGAATCAGAAAAACGGTGAACATGGCTCTTTCTGAAAGCTTTTCTGAGGATCTCATCCTTCAATATTTGAAACTTTAGCCATTGTTTATCTTTAAACAATAATACTCAACTCCCAAAGAAGGCTGTGATGAATGGGAATATATAATAAATTTTTTCTCTCTCTGCCTCAAGTCTAAGAAAAATGAGTGTTACTTCTAAACCATCAACACTCAAAGATTATCCACCTTCTTCTACATTTCCTGCTCATTTCTATGTCAGGACAGGCTTGTATGCAGATAAGTTGATGAAAAGTTGACTGTTTTTCTTATCAGCTTATCATATGCACCCAGTCTGGACCACGTTTTGACTATTCTTCCCAATTCTTTGCTCTGTATTGGAAGAACCGTGAAGTTCATAGGAAGTCTTCGTAAACTGTTTCTTCAAACCATTGTAAACTGGGTGCAGCGATGTCAGTTTAGAGATCAGTCAAATGTGAGATGTGTGGGTGAATGGGGAATATTCTCAAAATACTGCAAGTTGCCGGGGTTGGTGGCTCAGCCTGTAATCCCACGCCTTTGGGAGACTGAGGTGGTGGATGCCTGAGCCCGCGGGTGCGAGACCCGCCTGGGCAGTGAGACCTCATCTCTACAATAAATCAACAAATCAGCCGGGCGTGGTAGTACGTGCCTGTAATTCCCGCTACTCGGAAGGCTGAGGCGGAAGGATCGCCGGAGCTCAACAGGTCGAGGCTGCGGTGGCCGAGAGCGGCCACTGCACTCCAGTCTGGGTGACAGAGTGAGACCCCAACTCAAAAAAAAAAAAAATACTGCAAGTGAATGTCTCTGCTCTCCTCAGGGTAACTCCCTTCACTCCTTATTTGACTACCACTGAGACATGCACATCACAACTTAAGGACAAAAACAGTGGCCCAGAACAATGTTAAGGAGCTCCAACCTGAGGTTCCAGGTGTTTCTCTAAGGCTGCTTACTGCCTTCCCCAAAAAACTACTGAAAAATATCAGAACTCTAACTAGGCACAGTGGCATATCCCTGCAGCCATAGCTTCTTGGGAATATGAGGCAGGAATATCCCTTGAGACCAGGAGTTCAAGGCCAGGCTGGGCAACATAGCAAGACCTCAATTTCTTTTTAAAAAAAAAATCAGAGCTCTATAAATACCACTTATTTCCCCAGAGATAACAAGAAATGACTCATGTAAACTAATGGAAAACCTTTTACAAACATTAGACTCTGAAATATAGATTATATTAATTTTAGACGTATAAAGAAAAATCAGCACAAAATTAAGTTGTAAAGCAAAGACGGAAATCAGTGCTTCTGTAAGAAACTTTGACTAAGAATACATTCCAACTAAGCAAATCATACTTTTTCACACAATTTAGGGACACTTAAAAGAAGGAGGGGCCACGTGTGATGGTTCGTATAGGTAACCTCAGCACTTTGGGAGGCCAGAGTGGGAGAATTGCTTGAGCCTAGGAGTTTGAGACCAGCCTAGGCAACATAGTGAGACCTCATCTCTACAATAAACCAAAAAATTTGCCAGGTGAACTTGCACGTATCTGTAGTCTCAGCTACCCAGGAGGCTGATGAGGAAAGATCGCCGCCTATGCCCAGGAGGTCAAAGCTGCAGTGAGCTGTGATCATGCCACTATCCTCCAGCCTGGATGACAGAGTGAGACACTGACTCAAAAAATAGATAAATAAAAATAATCTAAAAAAAAGAAAGGAGGAAATTTGGGATCTGATCTTCCATCCTTCTATCACCAAATAAAGGAAACCAAAAATCGATGGCCATCCATTCAGTGAACTGAAGAGCCATGCCTGATTTCTCTGGGTTTAATATATTTACCTTCCCTTGCCTTAATTCGGTTTTCTTGTTGTTTTCTTATAGCCTAAAAGTTGATTAAGCCACATCTGAAGTGTTCTGTTAAGTTCTTGGAATCCCATGTTAAGAAAAATATAAGCCTACTGGAAACTGCAAGATATAAAATAAAGAAGGTACTCGAAATTGTGGCATATTTAATAAATGGTTAGATAGCTTATAAATATTTAATGTGGGGAAAAAACTGCTCAGTGGAAATGTTAGGTGTGGTTCAAAATATATAAAGGAGGAATTTGATCTGTTTTAGGTTCCCAAAAGTACAGAAGCCATAGGAACACAAATATTGTCTCAACATTAAAAAAAAGTTGCTTTTCCACGAGGAATGATGACTCACACCAGTGGTCCAAGAAACTCAGGAGGCTGAGGCAAGAAGATCTCTTGAGCTCAGAAGTTTAAACCTATAATGAACTATGATGGTGCCATAACATTCCAAACTGGCGACAGAGCAAGACCCCATCTCTTTAAAAAACGATCATAATAATTGCTTTTCAATTCACAGCTGCCTGCAGTTTGAACTGTAGGAACAAGACCCTTATTGCAAGAAGCTGTTAAATCAATACTGGTAAGTTCCTTGGTGTTGACGCTGTTGAGGGAATCCAAGTATCCCATGGACAGATAGTCCAGGTTGCCTTGTAGAACTTTGCCTCCTGAGATTCTTTACTTCTTTTTAATTTGATGTCTTTCTGACTTAAGGAAAATCTGAAGGTGGGTGTTTTGTTTTGTTTTAATAAGACAGGAGCAAATAAAAACACATGTAATTGGTAAATGATATGTGCCCAATAAATATTTGTCAAAGGATTGAAACTTTAAATAAGTAGGCAGAAGTCTATGTAATGAAAGGACATTTTACATGCTAGACCTCAATTAACTAAGTGCTCTGTGTTCCTTCATTCGCCATGAATGAATTGCCCTCTGTGAAGAAGGCCCCTCTTTAAGGGGTTTGCTCAGGAACTGCCTTGTCATCCTAATAATTCCAGGACAAAACCCTGTGAGTCCGTTGATCCTCACAAGTATCTGTTAAATGTAAGATACCATTGGAATTGAGAAATAGACAGAGGAACAAGACATAGTCCTTGTCCGCAAAAAATTTATCATCCACTGTGGTTGATGGGACACTTATCCTAGGGGTAAACTATTAACAATCTAAAGGAAAATGTACAAGAATTGTAGCTGTAGAAAAATAATATTTCATCCAAATGAAAAAAATAAAGGATCCCACAAAGCTTAAGGAATTTAGCCAGCTCGTTAAAGGCAGAGTTAGCCTAGTTCATGTAGTAGAAGGGGAAGGATGTGCTACACAAGATGACTCCCTGGAGTGGAAGAAGAAAATCATAACAATTAGTATTTGTATTGATCTCAACCTATTCTAATTTCTATTTTTGTTTGTTACATACATGATCACAACTATAAGCATATAAAGAGGCATATGTTGGAGGAATAACATATTTTACTGATCGTAGTACACAATCAAAAACCTTAGGGGTCATAGTAACACAGAGAAGAAATAGATTCTTCAGCAGGGGATTGTAGGAGTTGAGTTAGAATCTGAATAAAGGGAGAAGAGGGCATTTCCGGGGGAAAAATGATTTGATATAAGCAACACAGGAAACAATCCCAGTAGATCTTAAAAGATAGAAAGTAAACTTATTTAATGACCCCAAGGGATCAGGGAAATAAAGC